CTGATGACGGCTAATAAGCCAGAAATGGCCATTCCGGTCTCCCTTGTCTTTGTCGGTACCATCTCATCTATATCTACTACTAGTCGCTGTGCAACTGCCTGCGAGGGTTTAAGTATGAGCCCCAAGGCACAAAGGAACGAGCATGTTTCGCAACCTGATCGGTGAGCGCCCACTATCATAATATATATATATATATATATATTGTGTGGTTATTCTTGTTTTTTTGAATTGATTGGAATCCAAAACAGCCTTTTTTCTAAAGAAGAGGTCATGTTAAATCAGTTTTATTGAGGGAAAACAGACCAAAATTAGGCAAATTTTGACGTCTCCGGATATCCACTTAATCTTCTATTCTAATAAGTATCCCATATTAAAGTCTCTTATTTGTACGCGTTGTGTAATAAAGGAATTTTCATGTAACAAAGAAAAATATCAAAAAGGCCACTCTGGAAGTGGAGATTGTGATTTTTAGTTCATGGAAATCAGATCAAGTCAAGTATGTAAAAAAATTATTCTCATGAATCAAGAAGCAATTTGCTCTTTGAAAATTCTATTTATCAAGACTGCAACGTTTTACATCCTTCAACGCAGTAATATGCTCGTTGAACAGTATTTTTTAACTACACCGGGAACTAGTAGGCGTAAACACTATATGTAGATTGCGCGCTACATGCCGCCACTCTTCTTTGCCACACCGTACAGCAAAGATGTCAAACGAGTTCCTATCGGAAGTTGCCTTTGAGCGGATACGAAAATTGGCAGCCGAATGGCTGCCGCGTGAGTCGTTAGCTAATATTTTCAACATTAGCCAAGTCATTCTCTAGAGAATCAATAATAATAAAGCAATGCCTAGAACTAAACAAGGTGGGCAAAAATGGTCCACAAGCAAGCAAGACGACGATTTCATTCGTCGGACACTGTAAAAGTATCATTATATGCCCGTTGAGGCTATTTACAGGGAACACCTGTCAATGTTTTCTTTGAGCATAATTAGAAAAAGAATGAAAGAGTTCGGTCTCCATCAGCAAACGCCATGAAAAAGCCATTTTTAAGTAGAAAACTTATTAGAGAACGCTTTTTGTTTGCTCAAAAATATATCGATCACAGACTTCCCTTCTGGAAAAGTATTTACTTTTGTGATGAGGTCTTATTTTTAGACAAGCCTCCGAAGTCGGTTCAGGTGGTCATAAGTGGGAAGAACTTTCCACGAGAGCACACTCTATTGACACCAACATTCAAGAACTGTCGACGACTGATGGTTTGGATGGTCATCAAATTCGGAGAGCGACAGGTCTAGCGTTCAAAACGAAGACGATAAATAACAAGGTGTTCATCGACATCGTGAAGGATGCCTTCGGTTACAACGGCGTTTATGGACGTCAAATGGACACCGTAATGTTGCAGGATAATGCCCCCGTCCACCGCTCAAATGAGGTATGATTCCAATTCAGCTTACGACTATAATCTGATATTTTAGACCACAGCCGGCCTCCCCGCCTGAGACCTTCAAGGAATTTTTATCCCCGCCAACATCCCAGACCTAAATCCTATAGAAAATCTTTTTACGCTAATCAAAAGGAATGGAGACAAGGCAAGAAAACATCTTTCTATGGAACAAAAGTGAAAATTTTTGCTTAATAATTACCTAAACCAAACCGCCTTAGGCAACTTGGTAGTCTCCATGCCCTCTCGCCCTACGGCAACTTTGAGAGCTAAAGGACAATCGAAAAAGTACTGATACGTTGTATTTGTTGCCACTTTTCATCATTTTGTCGTTTTATGACGTTCTCTTTCTCTTCTAGCAGTTATTTTAGGCCTTCAATAGTTTACTTGTCATAGAGTCCTTTTTTGATTTGGTAGTTTTTCGTAAAATAAATTATTTCTTAGTCAATAAATAATACTCTATAAATCAAACTGTGCCTTCTTTTGAAGCTAAGTCGTATCTTTAACGCAGTATAACTTTCGTGGATGCGGGGTGGGTGTTTCGTGCGCTAAAGCGAGTTAAGTTCACAGTTCATGGCCTTTCATCAGATAGGTCACGATCTGTATGTCGGTCACGCCCGGATATTGGCTTTGAATGAGCTCATTTCCAATGGTCTGCAACTGTCATGTTCGGCAAAAGATGACTGGCCATGTTGCATGAATTATTCCCATTTGCTTTCGATGTCCTTAAAAAACAAATATATTTTTGTAGAAAACGTGCACAAAAATATCCTTCATTGAACTCATTTCGTAGCAAATAACGTCTTCTTCCAATTTTACGGCTGAAGAAGTGCAATCTTTAAGTTGTAAACAACTTTTTTTGAATTCCCGAATAATATTGACTCCGACCTGCAGTTGCGCTTCCTTTTAGAGTTTACAAACTACAAGCAGTATACTTTCTGTGTACAGAGAAT